TTTTTCCTGCAATCCCTTTTAGCTGAGGTTTTTCCTGCCCTCAATGTTTGGTTGTTTCCTTCCCCTCTGCAGGAATCACCCCTCGGTTATAGTTCAGCCGGGGAAGAGGCCGCTGCCCGCGGAATCCCCGGACACGCAGAGGAAACGCCGGATCCATCGGTGCGACTACGAGGGCTGCAACAAGGTCTACACCAAGAGCTCCCACCTGAAAGCTCACAGAAGAACCCACACAGGTTTGAGCATCGCTGTGCTTTCACCAAACCCCTGTCAGACACTCAATGTCAGCTTTTAGTCAGCCTGGGGGTGAACAGCAAAATCATAGAATCATAGAATCATTCAGGTTGGAAGAGACCCTTGGGATCATGGAGTCCAACCATCAACCCTACTCTACAAAGTCCTCCCCTACACCATGTCCCTCAGCACTGCATCTAAACGGCCCTTAAACACAGCCAGGGATGGGGACTCCACCACCTCCCTGGGCAGCCTGTTCCAATGCCCGACCACTCTTTCGGTGAAAAATTCTTTCCTAATGTTCAAATTTCCTAATGACCGGGGGTGTTGGTCGACTGTCGGCTGAACGTGAGCCAGCAGTGTGCCCAGGTGGCCAAGAAGGCCACCAGCATCCTGGCCTGTGTCAGAACAGTGTGGTGAGTAGGAATCAAGAGGTGATGGTCCCCCTGGACTGGGCACTGGGGAGGCCCCACCTTGAGGGCTGAGTCCAGTTTTGGGCTCCTCACCACAAAAGAGACATTGAGGGGCTGGAGCTGGTGAGGGGTCTGGAGCACAAGTCTTGTGAGGAGCAGCTGAGGGAGCTGGGGGTGTTCAGCCTGGAGAAAAGGAGGCTGAGGGGAGACCTTCTGGCTCTCTCCAACTCCCTGAAAGGAGGGTGTAGCCAGGGGGGGTCGGTCTCTTCTCCCAAGGAACAGGCCATGGGACAAGAGGACAAGTTGCCCCAGGGGAGGTTCAGATTGGAAATTAGGGAAAATTTTTCCATGGAAAGGGTTATGAAGCCTTGGAATGGGCTGCCCAGGGAAGGGGTTGAGGCACCATCCTCCACCAGGAGGATCATGGGTTAGAAAGCAAGGGTTGGCAGTGATTGGAAGTGGAGCTGTTGGTGACAATGGTGCAGGTTGTTCCTTCTGCAGCGACTTCAAGAGGTGCTGGATGGGGTCACCAGCCCTTTCCCCCCAGCTCCTCTGGAACGTGAGCTCCTGGGTTTTGAAAACGCTTGAGCAAACGCTGAAACCTTCTAAGTTTCTGGGGTTGCTGAGCCAAAAGAGGCGGTGGTGGGGCGGAGGGAGGAGCAGAGAGGGGAGAACAAAATAAGCTGTGGCAGGAAACAATACTTTTTGATCTGTCAGTGTCAGAGGCAGGGTTCCCTGCAGCTGGAGGCTCTTGGAGTCAGCCCCTCGAGAGGTTTACCCCTTTGAGAGGTTTACCCTCTCGCCTTCTCCAATCTCATCCAGTGATGAGATTGGAGAAGGCGAGAGGGTAAACCTCTCAAACGTTAAACAACGGGCGCCTTTGCGTTCTTAAAATAACTCCCCCCTCCTGTCTTTTTGTCTTCTTCTTCCAGGTGAAAAGCCCTACAAGTGCACGTGGGAGGGCTGCACGTGGAAGTTTGCTCGCTCCGACGAACTGACGCGGCATTTCCGCAAGCACACGGGCATCAAACCCTTCCAGTGCCCGGACTGTGACCGCAGCTTCTCCCGCTCCGACCACCTCGCCCTCCACAGAAAACGCCACATGCTCGTCTGAACCTCTTCAGCCCCCGACTCCCCTTTTAGTATTTTTTGGTTTTGTGTTGTTTTTTCACACGTGCATTTAAATTTGGATTCAGCTGGCCTGAATCCCCCCCCGGTTTCTACCATTAAAAGCTTCCGTATGGTCAGTAACAGACGGTATCTAACCCTCCTGTGTCCTCGCCACGGGTCAGACCTCAAGAATGTGAAGGCTTCTCTCCACTCTGGGCTTGTTCTCCAGGGGAGATGTTTAAGCAAAAACCCTTCCTGCAGCCCGTAGGTCTGGTGTGTTGCGGTGCCAACGAGGGAACCTGGAAACTGAAAACTTCTCTTGGTTTCTTCATTTAATCAGCCCGGCCCACGTGGATAAAATAGCAAATGTTACCGAGTGCCCAAAATGCTAGGCCTTGCCAGAGACTTGTTACTGACGTGCCCAGGGAGGGGCACGCTGGTGTTTGATGCTCCACAGTGCAACGGATGGACTCTTCCCAAACCCGCCTCGGTGCCTGCGGCGCGGTTGATCCGAACTGACGTGCCCGGGGAGGGGCACGCTGGTGTTTGATGCTCCACAGTGCAACGGATGGACTCTTCCCAAACCCGCCTCGGTGCCTGCGGCGCGGTTGATCCGAGGGTTGTGGGATGGTGGTGCCTGATCTCACAGCTGCCCCCCAGACACCCACTCCCACCCAGCCCAGAAATAAACCTGAGCCGTGTCAGTGCTCCCCAGAGAGACTGAGTCCCGGAGTCATTGGCAGGAGTCGCTCCGTAGGGAACGTCGTGCACCTCGGGGGTGACCTCCTCTGCCTTCTGGGGCAGTGGGAACCCTTGGTTTTTAGGGTGTGGTGGGGTTTTGGTGGGGGATCCCTGCTGGGGGGCTGTACCTCTGGTTCCATCGGTGCAGGGATGGGATGCATCCCTGGTGGTTCTTCCCTGTGACACCTGGAGAAACCCCCCACAGCTCCTTCCAGGGACACAGCCTCTCCCTCCACTAGAAAAGAGTGGTTTTCTCTTTGCTGTACCTTGGAAAAATAGCAATTGTTAAGGTTAAAAATGCTCCTGAGTGTGTCAGGGCCAGAGGGGGCCACTTGGATACGCTACAGTGTTGAGGTGGACAGTAAAATGACAATGAGCAAACAGTGTGCTTTTGTGGCCAAGAGGCCAATGGAATCCTGGGCTGCGTAGGGAAGAGTGTGGCCAGCAGGTCAAGGGAGGTCATTCTCCCCCTCTACTCTGCACTGGTGAGGCCACAACTGGAGTACTGTGTCCAGTTCTGGGCTCCCCAGTTCAAGAGGGACAGGGAACTACTAGAAAGAGTCCAGCGTAGGGCTACAAAGATGATTCAGGGATTGGAGCATCTCCCTTATGAGGAGAGACTGAGAGAGCTGGGACTCTTTAGTCTGGAGAAGAGAAGGCTGAGGGGAGACCTTATCAACGCCTACAAGTATCTCAAGGGAGGGTTGAAGGAGGAGGGAGCCAGACTCTTTTCAGTTCCACTCAAATATGAGGAGAAACTTCTTCACGGTGAGGGTGAGGGAGCCCTGGAACAGGCTGCCCAGGGAGGGTGTGGAGTCCCCTTCCTTGGAGATTTTCAAGACCCGCCTGGATGCTCCTGAGTAACATGCTCTAGCTCTAGGCAATCCTGCTTCAGCAGGGGAGTTGGACTAGATGATCTCTATGGTCCCTTCCAACTCTAAAAAATTCAGTGAAATTCAGTGAACTACTTTTCCACGAGATTTTTACGAGAAGATGGGATCAGGGATGAAGCACTTCGTGGTGATAAATTGAGCCCTGTGTCAGTGTGGGATGAAAAGGTGGATGGGATCATCCCTTTGGTAACTCTGGTGGTCTCTCCAGTGAGCTTCCCTGGGGATGTGTCTGCAGAAAGTCTTGGTTCCCATTTCAAGTTACCAAAAATGAACTTCATGCAACCCCCAGGTGACCCAAGAGCTGTTCCCATCTCTGGGAGCCTGCTGGAGGGCAGGTTTCTGTCTGTCTGTCTGTCTGAGCAGACTCCGTGGCCCTGTAAGGAAATGGGGTGTTATTTCTCCAGTTTTTCTCCTTTCCCCTGCGTCGGGTAAAGCCCGTTCCCTGCAACTTAAACCACCCCCAAGTCAGGTTTGCCTTTCTCTTGGGGGAAAAAAACCCAACCCTGGGCAATGGGGGGATGTGAGGTGAGGAGGAGCTTCCCAAACCTCTCCGGGGGCAGTGTCCATCTGCAGGTGGAGCTCCTGGAGCAGGAAGGTTCTGCTTCTGCACAACATGGGGTGGGGGTCCACCAGCACACCCAGACCCAAGAGCTGGGGTGCAAAGAGCCTTCTGTTGGTGACAGGGTGTCTCTCCTGATGTCCCCTGGGATTAGAGATGGAGAAATGGCAGGGAAATACCACAAGCATCATTCCAGGTGTGGAACCAACCCATTGGGATGTGGAAAGGGAGCCCAAAGAGGGGGAATTGGAAAACGGGGCCGGGAACGTGGCTGCAAAATGGCTTTCCTTTTGGAGGGTCCTGTTATGGAGATGGAGGGGCTGGGAGGGAAGAAAGGGCTACTTGGGAGCAGCCGGGCCAAAGTGGGGATTTTGGGATGTTTTTACCGGTGGCAGAACCGGGCACCTTCCTTCAGTCCAGGTTTTAATGGTTCCGGGCGTGTGGAGGTGGCTGAACTTGAGCCCCTGTGGCACCCAGTTCAGAGACATCAGTATCCAGGGGTGAAAACAACTCTTCATTCTGCTCTAAAGGAAAAAGCAAGCAGATGAGTTATAAAAATAAGCAGTTTCATGACAAGGGATTCCATTTTAGGGTAATAAATGCAAGTGCAGGACATGGGGGATGTTTAAGGCGCGTTTCCTCCAATGCTCTGTTTCAAGGCCTTTCACAAAATGTTTTAATATTTTATTTTTTTTTTAAACTATAAATCTAAAATCAAGCACCCCAAAATCAGATCTTCTTTGTACCGAGGAGTTACTGTGGAGATGTTAATGGAGGTTAATTACCGGGTTCCTTCGCGAGCCCATGGACCTTCTTCCTGCGGGTGTTTCTGCTGACGGTGGAGATTCAACAGAACCTTAAAATACCTTGAGCCCTGGGCCTTGTGATTTTAGGACAAGAGAAATTTAAATATTAAAATATAAATATTGGAGCTGGTTTGGTGTAAATGCAGGATTCTCACTCGGGGGGGACGTCACCAAAAAAAATAAATCATGACCGCACTTTCCTCTTTCGACTGAAAAACGTGAATTTACGTCTCCGCTGGCTCCTTGATGCATTTTAGCAAACTTTGATTTTTAAATTTACAAAATTAAATACTTCTCCAAGCTGGTTCCTTCCACCTGTGCCCAGTTGAGACAAAGAGAGAAAACCCTAATCCTGCAGAACGTGGGTGGTATTGATTTAAAAACCCTCCCCTTTTTCCAAGCAGCATGTCCTGGGTGATGCCGTTTTACTAAAATGGGCCTGTTTAAGCTCTTTTATTCTGAAAAATGACTAGTTTCTAAGACAATCACAAAAAAACAGGCGGGTATTACTGGGAGGGGGGGTATTTAAATGGACCCCACCGTTCTGCAGTGACTCTTCTGATGGCGCATGTTGGCCAAAGGAGTCGTCTGTGGAGTTGGTGAATGCAAACCCTTTTCTATTAAAAAAATACCCTTTTCTAGAAAAAAATCCTTCTCTATTAAAAAAATGACAAAGCATTTTTACACATCCTCCATGGGCTACACCGGTTTTCCTCGTATTCTACAGGTATTAGCACTTTTTTTTAAAAAAAATTGTACTTCAGATATTAGAGGGTCAAAGTAATGTCTTGTGCTCGGCGTCTCTCCTGCAGGCGCAGCAGGGACGGGGGGTTTTTCCTTTCACACTTGTATAAACTTTGCAGAATGTTTTTTAAATAAAATGTAATATATTTTCTAAGCTGATGAGACTGGGTGGGTGATTAAAGGTTTGCTGGAAGTTGCAAAAAGGGAGCCGTTTTGGTAATCGTGGTTCCTGAGTGGAGATGTGAGTGTTTGATGAACTTCAGCACTGCTCCTCCAGAGAAGGAGACTCCACCACCTCTCTGGGCAGCCTCTGCCACCATCACAGCAAAGAAGTTCCTCCTCATGTTGGGTTAAGTTGCAAAAAGGGAGCCGTTTTGGTAATCGTGGTTCCTGAGTGGAGATGTGAGTGTTTGATGAACTTCAGCACTGCTCCTCCAGAGAAGGAGACTCCACCACCTCTCTGGGCAGCCTCTGCCACCGTCACAGCAAACAAGTTCTCCTCACGTTGAGATGGAACTTCTTACCCTCTCCAGCAGTTCCCTGTCCTTCTGGAACTGGGGAGCCCAGAACTGGACCCAGTGCTCCAGATGGGGCCTCCCCAGGGCAGAGCAGAGGGGCAGGATGACCTCCCTCCACCTGCTGCTCACCCTCTTCCTGATGCCCCCCAGGATGCCCTTGGCCTTCTTGGCCACCAGGGCCCATTGCTGGCTCCTGGGCATCCTGTTGTCCACCGGGACTCCCAGGTCTTTCTCCTCAGAGCTGCTCTCCAGCAGGTCAGCCCCAACCTGTCCTGGTGCAGGGGGTTATTCCTCCCCAGGTGCAGCACCTGACACTTGCCTTTGTTGAAGTTCATCAGGTTCCTCTCCGCGAAACACTCCAGCCATGTCTTTCTCCTCAGAGCTGCTCTCCAGCAGGTCAGCCCCAACCTGTCCTGGTGCAGGGGGTTATTCCTCCCCAGGTGCAGCACCTACACTTGCCCTTGTTGAACTTCATCAGGTTCCTCTCCGTGAAACACTCCAGCCACGCTGAAGGTCTTGCTGGATGGTGGCACGGCCTTCTGGTGTGTCACCCATTCCTCCCAGTCTTGTGTTGCCAGCGAACCTGCTGAGGGTGCACTCTGTCCCCTTATCCAAGTCATTGATGATTATGTTGAACAGGCACTCTGTCCCCTTATCCAGGTCATTGATGATTATGTTGAACAAAAGAAGACCCAGTACTGATCCCTGGGGACATTTCATAGAATCACAGAATGGTTTGGGTGGGAAGGGACCTTAAAGATCATCGAGTTCCACCCCCCTGCCCTGGGCAGTGACACCTCCCACCAGCCCAGGTTGCTCCAAGCCCCCTCCAACCTGGCCTTCAACCCCTCCAGGGATGGGGCAGCCACAGCTTCTCGGGGCAACCTGGGCCAGGCTCTCCCCACCCTCACACCAAAGAAGTCCTTCCCCACAGCTCATCTAACGCCGTCATCATTTACTCCGGTTTTCCCAAGAGTCCAAACATCTCGTGCATGTCCCAGCGTGACCCGTCATTTCCAGAAACAGTCGCTGGTCCTTTACTCGGCCACAGGGTGTCACCCTCCGCCTGAGAACACGGCAACATTTAAGATTTGACATGTAATTTAAGCAAATATTTCTTTTCTCCCAGCTGAGACATGAATCTGCCACATCTGCCTTCACCTTCTGTCCCAGCGCCACGGCCCGACCCGCACAGAAATCACCTCAAGGATCCAAACCTGATCCTGGTGTTTTTAGGGCAACTTTTA